CCATGATTGATATAGACCAGTCACAGTTTACTCCCTAGGGCTGAGGTGGGAGCTAGCACTCTTGAAGCACATGGCGAGGCATAGCAGTGTTGTTACTAGAACAAAATTGGGATTCTGTTAACAAGATGGAAGAGAGATCGTTGGCGTTTTGGCTAGGCAGTCAGCAGAATCTGCCACACCATGCCAAGGAATTTGAACTATATCCCACTGGGATGTGAAACCACAGAAGAATTTTAAAACAGGAAATAGCATGATTATATTTCACTATGTCAGAATAGAGGGGTACTCAAGAGGGGCATGGGCCTTGGAGGTAGGGCCACCAGTTAGAAGATTTCATCAGAAGATATTAGAGAGGATTTTAGGCATTTGAATTAAGAACACCTAGTGACTAATTGGAATGGGAAAAGGAAGTAGAAGGGATAGATTCAAGAATGACTTGCATGTAAACTAGACAGCTACATGTCAAAGAATGAAATTAGAACACTACCTAACACCATACACAAAAATAAACTCCAAATGGATTAAGGACCTAAATGTACAACCAGACACTCTAAAACTCTTAGAGGAAAACATAGGAAAAACATTCTTTGACATAAACCACAGCAAGATCTTTTTTGACCCACCTCCTAGAGTAATGAAAATAAAAACAAAAGTAAACAAATGGGACCTAATTAAACTTAAAAGCTTTTGCACAGCAAAGGAAACCATAAACAAGATGAAAAGACAACCCTCAGAATGGGAGAAAATATTTGCAAATGAAACAACGGACAAAGGATTAATCTCCAAAATATACAAACACCTCATGGAGCTCAATATCAAAAAAACCAAACAATCCAGTTAAAAAATGGGTAGAAGACCTAAATAGACATTTCACCAAAGAAGACATACAGATGGCCAAGAGGCACATGAAAAGATGCTCAACATCACTAATTATTAGAATCAAAACTACAATGAGGTATCACCTCACACTGGTCAGAATGGCCATTATCAAAAAATCTAGAAACAATGTTGGAAAGGGTGTGGTGAAAAGGGAACCCTCCTGCACTGTTGGTGGGAATGTAAGTTGATACAGCCACTATGGAGAACAGTATGGAGGTTCCTTAAAAAACTAAAAATAGAACTACTATATGACCGAGCAATCCCACTACTGGGCATATACCCTGAGAAAACCATAATTCAAAAAGAGACATGTACCACAATGTTCATTGCATCACTGTTTACAATAGTCAGGACATGGAAGCAACCTAAATGTCCATCAACAGATGAATGGATAAAGAAGATGTGGCATGTATATATAATGGAATATTACTCAGCCATAAAAAGAAACAAAATTGGGGCTTCCCTGGTGGCGCAGTGGTTGAGAGTCTGCCTGCCATTGCAGGGGACACGGGTTCGTGCCCCGGTCCGGGAAGATCCCACATGCCATGGAGCAGCTGGGCCCATGAGCCATGGCCGCCGAGCCTGCGTGTCAGGGGCCTGTGCTCCGTGACGGGAGAGGCCACAACAGTGAGAGGCCCGCATACCGCAAAAAAAAAAAAAAAAACGAAATTGAGTTATTCGTAGTGAGGTGGATGGACCTAGAGTCTGTCATACAGAGTGAAGTCAGAAAGCAAAACAAATACCGTATGCTAACGCATATTTATGGAATTTGAAAAATAAGAAATGGTACTGATGAACCTAGTGGCAGGGCAGGAATAAAGATGTAGACATAGAGAATGGACTTGAGGACACAGTGGCGGGGAGGGGGGAGCTGGGGCTAAGTGAGAGTAGCATTGACATGTATACACTACCAAATGTAAAATAGTTAGCTAGTGGGAAGCCGCAGCATAGCACAGGGAGATCAGCTTGGTGCTTTGCAACGACCTAGAGGGGTGGGATAGGGAAGGTGGGAGGGAGGCTCAAGAAGGAGGGGATATGGGGATATATGTATGCATATGGCTGATTTACTTTGCTGTACAACAGAAACTAACACAGTATTGTGAAGCAATTATACTCCAATAAAGATCTATTAAAAAAATTTTACAAAAAGAATGACTTGCAGATACCTGCTTGGGTGAATCACAGGGTATTTTGTCAAAGTTGGGAATATGCATGGAGGAGGTTTGGGTGGATAAGGTGAGAATGGAGAGACAGTGAATTTGGTCTTCAACAGTGAGGTACCTACAGGACACATGAAGAGAGATCAGTAAACTTGGAGGGGAGAGCAAAGACCACATTAAATTCCATTAGAGGTTAGGGCAGGGTGGAGTGTGGAATGAAGGAGAATTGATGAGGAGAAATAAAGCGATGCAGACAACTGACACCTAGTGTGGGACTGGTTTGACTGATTTTGCTCAGGGTGGGTAGAGTCAAGGATGCCTTGAGAAAATTGCAAATGTAATTGTAGACAAGCCTTTAAAAAGCAGTTAAAGGGGCTTCCCTGGTGGTGCAGTGGTTGGGAGTGCACCTGCCGATGCAGGGAACGCGGGTTCGTGCCCCGGTACGGGAAGATCCCACATGCCGCGGAGCAGCTGGGCCCGTGAGCCATGCTGCTGAGCCTGCACGTCCGGAGCCTGTGCTCCGCAGCGTGAGAGGCCACGGCAGTGAGAGGCCCGTGTACCGCCAAAAAATTTAAAAAAAAAAAAAAGAAAAAGCAGTTAAAAGCCTGTTTTGAAATATGGATTTCTGTAATTTGTTTCAACATGTTGAATTACAGCAAATGAGATGGAGAAATAATCTCAACCCATTTTTTTTGGCCTCCTAACTGGAAACCTCAGAACTTAGCCCTGTAGGCTGTTAATCAGATAAGCACTGCAGGCTTTACCATGCCTGAGAGCATATGGAGTGATTGAAGGAATTATTGTCCAAACCAGATGGACAAAGAAGGTATAATGAGAAAGTGTTGGGATTAAAATGTAGGTTTCTTTTCTGTTTTATAATAGTAGTTACAAAATATAAATTAGATGTTTCAATGCACCTTCAAGTTCTAAGTTAATATAGTTCATAAACCATATGAAACAAGTACTATTTAAAACATAAATAGGAATTTTATTTCCACTCAAAAACACTCATTTAGTGGAACACTGGAGTTTGAAATATACATAGATTAGATTTAGAACTGCACAGTTGGCAGGCAACTTCAAGAATTAAAAAAAAAACAAAGCCAAAACATTTGTTGAGCTTTTCCTATGTCTACCTTGTTCCAGGCACTGAACTAGGCTCTAGAATAAAATCACCTGGTATTTTGTAATTTTTTGTGGTTAATCCTAACTTTATGCAACTATTATACTCGATGTGGTTTCTGGGGCCTGGATAAAATATAACACTTGAAGCAGAGTAGGGACTGAGGGACAAAAAGAAAATTGAGAATTGAAGGAGAAAAGCAACCTAGGAAACCCAACAAGGTTGGGAGGGTAATGGAGGAAAAAAGAAACAGTCATGAGAGACTGAATACACAGACTGGATAATGGCCAGACCGTATATGACAATTAAAACTCTGACCCACAGCCTCTGCAGCAATCAACCCAGAACTCTCATGACTGGTCAATGACTGTCAGCTTCCCTAATTTTTGCCCCTGCCCTTCCAACTCAGGACCAACTGGCGAAGGTCAAATATGCTCCCCCAAACAATCACATAAGATGCCTTGCTTCTAGTTAGCCTGCTTCCAGCTTCCCCATGCCATTCGGTGCATATATGAAATCTTCCCTTTTTGTTTTTCCACCTTAAACTTCCCCACTCCCTTGACAGCCTTTGATTCTCTGCCAGATGCCAAGTGATAGTGGTTGACTGCCCTGTTATAGCAGGCATAGAGTAAATAGCCTCTTTGTTCTCACTTGGGTGGTCTTCATTTATTTCCACAGTCATTCATTCACATATTTATCATATATTAGTTGTATTTTATGTGCCAGGCAGTGCCCAGCATTGCTATGCAAGCAGATAGTCCTTGCCCTCAAGGATATTCTGTCTACTGGGATAGACAGATACGTAAATATAATTGTCATTCAATGTGGTAAGTGAAACAATATATAAAGGAGGTGTAGATCAAGTAAGGCTTTTAGGGGAAGTGACCCTTAAATCGAGTGGTAAGGGTTGAGGACAAGTTGACCCGGTAAAGAGGCAGGGAAGGATACTCAAGGCAGGTGTAGGGGAGGGGTGGAGGAGGCAGAGTGAGCAAAGCCCAAGAGGGCAGAAACCACAGAGGTGCGTTGCTGGAGCACGATAAGGGAGGTGCGGAGCAGCAGCAGATGCTGCATGGGCAGGTCGTGGACGGCCATGTGTGTGCCAAGTTTGTAAGGACTTGGACTTCATCCTGTCCAAGCGGCTCCCGCCTGGACATGAGAGAAGGGGCTGGTGTAAGCAAGGTACAAAAACAACATTCAGGAAACATTACCTTTTGTGTATTACTGTTAAGGTCTGGGAGGGCAGGGACACAGCCGCTCTTAATGTTTGGCTCACAGTAGACATTAAATGAATGTTGAATGAATGGATATAAGCGCTGCGGTGTAGTCGTCATTACCCCCCAACTTGTGTTTTTTTTTTCATGGGACAACACAGTGGATCCAGGGCATCTGTTTGGGAGGCTGTAGGGAAGGCTTGTGGTGGGAGAACTGCCATTCTGCAGGGCAGGATTTGTGGACACAAAACCTCCGACTGGCTTTAGGCAAGGGAGAACACCCCGAGACCCACGCACCCGAGCCGCTCCGTCCTGAAAACGGCCGCAGAGAAAACGGCCGCAGAGGAAACAGCCAGCAGAGAACTAGCGCCACCGAGAGGGTAGCAGCCGCAAGGTACCTGGGCGCCGCTCCGTACTGCTCACCTGTGAGCCACAGCCGGCCCCTCCAGGCGGAGCCCCGCACGACGCCCTTCCGGATTGGACGCGCTCGAAATCCCGGGGCGGGCATTAAGGCCTAGCGCTCTAGGGGACTGGCCACCCTGGCGGACCGACGTGCGGCCGACGGAGCTGGTTCGCCCGCGGCCCCTGCTGGGTGGAAGGCGGGCCCCTCTCCGCGGGTCCCCTGTCAGTCATTGGCTCCCTGCGGTTTCCTTGGGGACGTGGCGCCGCCGGCAGCCCAGGCCTCCTTCCGGCTCTGGTAGAGGCCGCGGGGAGCACCTCCGGACCTAGCAGAGCGGAGCTGAGGGAGCCGGCGGGCCGCTCGACCCGTGAGTATGAGCTCGGGAGGGCTGCGGGGCCGGGAGGGGCGGACCGCGGGTTCCTCGAGGAAGTCGCTGGCCCTCTAGAATACCCCGCTCCCAGGGAGCCCGGGTAGGGTCCACTGAACCCCAGGAACAAGAGCATACGGATCTGGAGTGGGAGCCCGGAGAGTGGGTGGACGCCATGAGCTTCTCGTGGTGGGGTATGGGGTCTTGTCTCGTGGGTACTGCTGGAGGTGAGCCGGAACCCCAACCAGCTCTTTCCAGGCTGCAGACTTCGGAGATGACTGGGACGAGGAGACCACCTTCTCAAGGCAAAAGGAAAAGGAGGTGACAGGCCTTGAGACCACTGAAGGGAACCCATGGCTAGGTAAGGTTGCAGACTTTATCCTCAGCTGGGAGCTCGGTGGGGGGTGGCTGGGAGATTGTTACGAGTGAGGTTTGCTCTAGGGCTGCATGTGGACTTCGCAGCCTGGTCAGATGGATGCAAAGATCAAAGCTGCATTCTTTTGAAGGCAGATTCAACAATACCTTACAGCCCGGAGCCCCCCGGGGTGATAGAGTGAGTGCTTGCTCAGCTCTGGTAAGTGCTAGATTGTAATGTTCTTTCAAATTTCCACTTGAGTGAGGCTAGGTGCCCCTTGAGGAGGTTAAAAAAACCCAAAAAACAAAAACAAAACAAAAAAAATTTTTTTAATGAACTTTGAAAACAGACCGAGGTCCTTCTGAATTACTATGGAAAGTGAACTTCACAGTTGAGTATGCTTATCCATACATTATAACACTCTGAAGCTTTCAGAAAAGATTAATGTGGATCTGTGGAGCAACATGTACCAAATGAGACAGTTGTCAAATAGAGTAAGTGGAGAAAGATGCAGAACAGTAGGTATGGTGTAAAACCAAAGGAATGGAGATACACACACAGACACACACACACAGATATATTACCTATATGGTATGTATTTATGCTTGTGTATACAAGAGTATCCCTGGGTAACAGTGGTTGCCTCTGAGAGGGAAATGATGGGGTTAAGGCACAAGACTCACTTTCCACTATATATCCTTTAAACTGTTTGATTTTTTTTTATTGTGTGCGTATGTTACCTATTAAAATATTTTTAAAAATCAGTTGAATAAATTTTCTGACTATCCAGTTTTTTTGACAGCATTCTTGATGGGAATGTTACAAGTGCTCTGATTCTTCAGCGTTATGAGATTGCACAGGGAGACTGGTGATCTTTTCATTAACATGAAGTTGGTTCTTTGAACTGCATCCCAAAGTGCACTCTGAAAAAAGAGCAGAGAAGCCTTTTTTTATTTATATAGTAGAAGCTCCATGAACTATATATGTCCTTTTCTAAAATTCGAGACTAAATGAACATTTAGACTTCTGGGGGCATAATTTTTTGCCTTTATCAGGAAGCGCTTTAATTCAGCTTAAAAACCACTTTTTACCACTGGATTATAGAGACTTTTCTTACTAATGTTTGTCTCATTTCAGGATCAGTTTTTCCTACCTCTGCCCAGCCTCCTGGTACTTCACTGTGCCCACAGTGAGCCCATTTCCCCGGCAGCGGGTGGCATTCCTAGGACTCTTCTTCATATCCTGTCTCCTTTTACTTATGTTAATCATGGACTTTCGACATTGGGGTGCTTCATTACCACGAGACAGGCAATATGAAAGGTGAGTCAGCTTTACGTCGCTTCGATTGGCTTTGGTGTTGAAGTCATAAATATTTTGATAAGCTGTTTAACACACTACCACCTTTGACTCTTTTGGGGAATACCGCACTTTTATTAGTAAAACTGCATGCCACTTATTACATAAAGAAGATCTTAAGCCCCATTTCGGCAATGTTCAATTTTGATTCAGGAATGCTGTTGCTGCATTTTAACCATGAAAGACATCTTTCTGTTTTTTTGTCTTGGTGGGCTGGCTTACTGGGTGCATAAATGTTTAGGATTGTTATGTACTCTTGATGAATTGACCCTTTTATCATTATTAAATGACTCTGTTTATCTTTGATTATATTCTTTGCTCTGAAATCTACTAGTCTGGTATTAATATATCAGTAGCAACTTCAGCTTTCTTGGGTTAGTGTTAGCATGATAGATGTTTTTCCATTCTTTTAGTTTTAGCCTGTTTGTGTCTTTACGTTTAAAGTGAGCTTCTTGTAGGCAGAGTTTAGTTGAGTCTTTCTTTCTACCCAATCTGACAGTGTCTGCCTTTTATTTGGGCCCTTCAGGCTATTTACATTTATCAATTGTTTAGATTTTAATTTGTCTTGCTATTTGTTTTCTGCTTGTCACATCTGTTCTTTGTCTTTCCTCTTTTTTCCCCTTCTTTTGAATTGAGTACATTTTTTATGATTCCATTTTATCCCCTTTCTTGGCTTATTAGATATAACTCTGTTTTTATTTTTTCAGTGGTTGCTTTAGGGTTTAGAGTATACATCTTTAACTTATTACTTCAAGTAATATTATACCTCTTCACACACAGTGTAAGAACCTAACAACAGTGTACTTTCATTCCTCTCTTTCCCCTTGGCCTTGGTGCTATTGTTGTCATACCTTTTACTTCTACATATGTTATAAGCTCCACCATGTGTTATTATTTTTGCTTTAAACATTCAATTATTTTTTAAAGAGGTTTTTAAAAATAAGAAAAAAAGGCTTGTATATTTACCATTTCTGGGCCTCTTCATTCCTTTGTGTAGATTTCATATTTCCGTCTGGTATCATTTTCCTTTTGCCTAAAGGTCTTCCTTTAACATTTCTAGTAGTGTGAGTCTGTGGTTGGTGAATTCTTTAAACTTTTATATGACTGGAAAAGTCTTTATTTTGTTTTCCCTTTAAAAGAAATGTTCACTGAGTATGGAACTCTAGGTTGATTGTTTTCTTCTTTCATTACTTTACAGATGATGCTTCACTGTCTTCTGGGTTGTCTTAGAAGTCTGCTGTCATTTTTATCTTTGTTCTCTCTGTACGTAATATGTCTTCCTCTGGCTGCTTTTAAGGTTTTCTCTTTATCACTGGTTTTAAACAATTCGATTATGATGTGCCTTGGTGTAGTTTTCTTCATGATTCTTTTTTCTTTTTTTTAAGATTTTTTAAAAAATAATTTTTATTTTTAAAAATTTATTTTATTTTATTTTTAGTTGTGTTGGGTCTTTGTTGCTGTGCACGGGCTCTTCTCTGGTTGTGGCGAGTGGGGGCTACTCTTCATTGGGGTGCACAGGCTTCTCATTGTAGTGGCTTGTCTTGTGGAGCATGGGCTCTAGGCACGTGGGCTTCAGTAGTTGTGGCATGTGGGCTCAGTAGTTGTGGCTCGCGGGCTCCAGAGTGCAGGCTCAGTAGTTGTGACGCACAGGCTTAGTTGCTCCATGGCATGTGGGGTCTTCCTGGACCAGGGCTCAAACCCGTGTCCCCTACACTGGCAGGCAGATTCTTAACCACCGTGCCACTAGGGAAGCCCTAAAGATTTTTTTGATGTGGACCATTTTTAAAGTCTTTATTGAATTTGTTACAATATCGTTTCTGTTTTATATTTTGGGTTTTTGGCCCTGAGGCATGTGAGATCTTAGCTCCCAGACCAGGGATCGAACCCGCACCCCCTGCCTTGGAAGGCAAAGTCTTAACCACTGGACCACCAGGGAATTCCCTCTTCATGATTCTTATGTATGTGATTTGTTGATTCTTGGATCTATGGATTGTAATTTTTAATCAAATTTGGAAAAATTTTAACCATTATTTCTTCAAATATTTTCCTGTCCTCTCCCACTTTTCCTCTGGTGTCTCCAGTGACTGAGCCGTGTGACATTTTCTTACAGCCCACTGATGCTCTATTCATTTCTTTTTTTTTTCAGTCTTTTTTCTCTCTGTTTTTTCTGGATATTTTATTAATATATTGCCATGCCTTCCGGTTCATTAGTATTTTCTTCTGTAGAGTCTAATCTCCTGTTAGTTCAGTGAGAACTGAATACCTTTTTTTCACAGAAAATATATTTGAATTATTTGATATAGTTTTAATGCCTTACCAGTTGCGTAGAAGTTGCTATTTTTTAAAGGTTAGTTTCTGATTAGGCTACAGAATGAAATGATGACATGTGTTCATCATCTTCAACATGATTTTCTCTTTATTGCTTCCCAGAAAGTATCAGTTAGGAGGCTTTGGGCTGCAAGTAACAGTCAGACCAACTTAAATAATAACAAAGTTTATTGGCTCACATAACAAGAAGTCCAGGGATAGAGGGACCACAAGTTCAACATTGGCTGTCAGGATGGAAGTCTCTGTCTCAGTTGCCCATTTTGTCAGCTTACTGAATGGTTGCATAATAGCAGCCAGGGCTACCTGCATCCTCACTCATGTCCTGCAGGAGAGAAATGGGTCTTGCATGCTTTCTTATAAGAGTGAAGACCCTTCCTGGAAACCTCTAGCAACCCTTTCCTTGAATCATTTTTGGTCAGAATTGGGGCACATACCTCCTCCCCTTAATATTTCTGGGTTGTTCTGTCCCAAGAATTTCTCATTTCCTATTCACTTTGGTCATTCATTCATTCAACAAACATTTATTGAGCAGCCACTATGTGCTGGGTGATAGGAGCTAGGGCATGGAGACTTGGTACTTTTTCTCAGGAAGTTTATATTTTCAAACTTTTCTCATCTAGCAGCACTATTCCTTTGTATTTTTCTTTCTTCCTTTTCAAAGAGGGAACACTTACTTAGGTAGATGACTAGAGTTGTCAACAGTTTGTCTTAAGAAGTCTGTAGTTTTGGAAAACTGAGCCCATAATTTGAGTTTTTTAAATGCTTATTGAGATTTTTCTTGACATACCTGAGCACAGTTTCTCACTGGAATATAGCATGGTCTAATTATGGAATTCTATGTAGGATAATATGGCTAGAGTAAAGACTACTAGGCAGTGAGTGGTGATCTATATAGCTGGAGAGGTAGATCAGGCTGGGCCTATTAAGCCATTTTAGGGGGTTTAGACTTTATCTTAAGGGCAGAGGGAAGACTTTGAAAGGCTTTGAAGAGTGATATGATCAGAAATGCTTTTTACAGAAAGGTCACTTTGATGGCATGGTGGAGAATGAATTGGAATCCTCCAGTAGAGAGATGATGGTGGCTTAGACTTGGGTGGCAGCAATGATGATGAAGAGAAGTAAATGCATCTGAGGGATATGTGGGAGGTAGAGTGATCTGATAGTTCTTATCTACCATTAAACTCAGGTGGCCAGATTCAATAAATACTTATGCTGAATTAATTGAAACAAGTTAGCCACAAAGCTAAGGAACACACAGACTGTGCCTCTGTAATGATCTTAACAAAATCTTCACACCCTGTAATGCTCTGGCTGAGCAGCCAGCAGCCATATAGCCTAGAGCTTCTTGTTCTTTAATGAAACGTTATGTGCATATGGCCACAAATTACCATGTGTCCTTAAACTTTACTCATGGCTGCCTACATGAGTCATTTAGGAAGCAAACATCTGTTGAGAGCTTGCTGTGTGTGTGACTCTGTGCTAGGAGCTAGGGTACAAAGATGAATAAAACGTGGCCCCTGAACTCATGGAGTTAATAATCTAGTTAGAGAGGCAGATGTGAAGGAATAATTGTTTCCTGATGAGGTAATAGTTTAAGTATAACTATGTAGAATCAGGAATAAAGAATCAGGAACTGTACATAGTCAAGAATGAGGAATAAAGTTAAGAATCAGAACTTAATAAGAAGAGGCTCATGAGTAACCAAATTTGATATCACTGAGTTCATGTACTAAGAGCTTATGTACTATACTGATAAGAAAGGCTCTCACATAGAGGCTGTTTACTTTTGTTTTACATACTGTTTTTTTGTTTGTTTTTTTCAACTTTTTATTTTATATTGGAATGTAGTTTGTTAACAATGTTGTGTTAGTTTCAGGTATACAGCAAAGCGATTCAGTTATACATATACATATATCTATTCTTTTTCAAATTCTTGCCCCATTTAGGTTGTTACATAATACTGAGCAGAGTTTCTTGTGCTATGTAGTAGGTCCTTGTTGGTTATCCATTTTATTTTATTTATTTATTTATTTAATTTATTTATTTTTGGCTGCGTTGGGTCTTTGTTGCTGCACGTGGACTTTCTCTAGTTGCGGGGAGTGGGGGCTACTCTTCGTTGTGGTGCGCAGGCTTCTCATTGCGGTGGCTTCTCTTGTTGTAGAGCACGGGCTCTAGGGTGCTCAGGCTTCAGTAGTTGTGGCACACGGGCTCAGTAGTTGTGGCTCACGGGCTCTAGAGCGCAGGCTCAGTAGTTGTAGCACATGGGCTTAGTTGCTCCGCGGCATGTGGGATCCTCCTGGACCAGGGCTCGAACCCATGTCCCCCGCATTGGCAGGCGGATTCTTAACCACTATGCCACCAGGGAAGTCCCTATCCATTTTAAATATAGTACTGTGTACTTGTGCATACTGTTGTAATTAGCTTGGTTCTCTCTTGTCTCAGGACACAGCAAATAATAGCAAGTTAGAATGATGGTAGTGGGAAGGGTGTGATGGTCATTAGATGCAGGCACACTGATGACAGTAATTAATAATGTACTGACATCTTGACAGTGAGGCAGGAGAGAGGAAATTTATTAAAAGTAGACTCAGGGGCTTCCCTGGTGGCGTACATTTCTGGGTATGTATTGCTATCAT